AAAAATGACAATAACTGCCATACGACACGTGAAAGTTCAGCCCATCTTCACCTAAGAGGGGGAATTTCTTGTGAACTGAGCTAACCCAAAAATCGTAGTAAAACCAAACAACTGCAGAAAATAATCAGCCGTCGTTTTATCTTAAGATCAATGTATGATGCTTTTCAACAACCATGAAAGGAAAGTCACTATACTAATGTTATCTCAGGATATTGATCTCAACCTATCTACTCTGTGTATATAGTTAGGCAAGTTTGCATATTTTAGCTTGAAACATTTGATATGAACGATATATGGAATTCAAAATGGGTATGAGTCAAGACGCATAAAAATATACAAATTACTGAGCTGGTAGTTGCGAAAACCGACTCAAAAACAAAATTTAAGAAAAGATATAACAAGTAGAAATGAACTTTCGAAACAGTTAGCGACATAATCATGAATATGAGAAACACTGAGAATTGGCATACCTTACAACCTTCGCATGTAAGTGCACCAAAATGAAAACCAGAAGAAGGTCCACTACAGACTCGACAGGGGATCTGGGAAATATCGCAGCCACTTTCGCCACCTGGTGCTAAAGCAATAATCAATGTCAGTAGAATAAGTTAAGGGGATGTAATCAAAAAGTATAGAGAAACGGTCATAATAACCCAAATCAAAATCAACATCTGTAATATTTTTACAATAAAATAACTTCGTTAAAGACAATAGACACAAGCGTAGCTATTTTAATATAGATGTATATTTCATTTCGTTTGAAGAAGCGAGCAGAAAGGATTTGTGAGTTGGTCTCACCTAAAATCAAATAGGTGTCTTGGAGTCATGAATGTAGATTTGAATGAAGACTTTTCTTGTCTTCGTGCTTAATGGATTATCTTGAAACATGCCCTGCTCTGACAATGTGGGACACATGATGGACAAGTAATTGACAAGGATGTTTCGGGGTCGCGGGACGGTGAGTCGAGGAGTTTCTGCACAAATCTAGTCAGAGAGCCAAGGAAACACCCCTTCGACTTCCGGTGAGGCCTCTTCAAATGAAATGAAATATACTTCTGCATCAATCTACCTCGGTAACTGCCAGAGTGTATTATACCGGGGGCGTTATTCCCCATTATCTACCTAAAACGTTTAATAGCACGTTGGGCCTCCCTAATTCTCAGCCTTTACCTATCATTAGCTGAGCCTAACGTCAGCTAATACCACGCGGAAAAATCTTGATGTTTAGCTCATTGGGAACAAAGATGTTCCCTATATCGATATGTCTCATGAAGTTCTATAAGCATTCTCCTTATCCCATTGAAAGATCGCCGCTCCTAATATCCAAGCTACATTAAAAGCGTCTCTAAACTAAAGTACGAGGATAATACCGATAACAAACCTCTTCAATAACCAGCAAGACAGAAAATCAGGAGCTTTGTATTTAAATAGGCCTCATTACTCATACAACAAAAAACACTTTTATAGCAACTCAACCTATCTATTACTCTTATCCAATTGGCAAATTACCCACAAACTAAACTGTTCTATGCACACAATGTATAGCTATTTCCTCATCTTACTTACCGATTGGCTGGGCTGATAATGAAAATGAACTTAATCGTTTTTTCCGTCGGCATTATAACTCTAAAGAACTGAAATCTTATTATACGACATTATTAGCACACTGGAATAAGGTATCGAACAAATGAGCAGAATAAAACAGAGGCATGCAAAACCTCTGTGTACTGCAATAAACCCCAATCTGGAGAGTATCGAAACAATCAGGTATAAACATGATCACATAAATTTTGGCGATATAAAGTGGATGGAAAATGAAGCATGCTAAAATGATCCTCATAAAAGGCGTCAGGATTAGGAAGAGAAGCAAGTTAAGCAGAATATTAGCTGGGGTAAATGTATATTTTATGAATAATTATCTTGTATAGGCCATAGATTCAGCCAGTTCAGAGTTCCGGACACACGTACCCTTAGAGGCAGTTTTGTGGAGAACTGACAAACCGTCTCAACACAAAACCGCTTGTAAGAATCTATAAGTCTAAAAATATGAACTGGCCAAACATATTGCTAGTACAGCACACGTAATAAAATACGTAATAATACGTAATTTCACATGATCAAGTGGCTCGTGCCTCTAAAAGTGACATAAACATTAGCACAACATACGTGTCAAATTCATGCCAAGGTCAAGGCACTTCTTGAATCGACAATGTGGACATTTGCCACGGCCAGGGCCCTCGACGCGACATCCACCTCCCATCGGACATGCCATTACTTGGCTGGCCGGCACATTACAGCTGCCTCCATTAGCGGAAGCAGAGGGCGATTGATCAAGGCCTTCAGTATCACCAGTCACAATAGATGTGCTAGCATTATCGCTGCTAGCTGAACGGAGTCGAGCCGAGGCATGTCGAGTAAAAAATTTCTATAAAGTAGGGTATACAAAAAAGTGGTACAACTTTTCAACTGTCATGTGTGAATTTCAATCTAAGGGACAGAATTAGCAACTATTAAAAAATTAATTTTATATGGTTATCGATCAGCATTTGAGTTATATTAAGAC